GCAAATTTTGCTGATTATGATAGTCCAATTGATAATTTGGATGTCTCTAATTTCTTTACTGATCCAAATGAGAATATTGACCATTTAATTGAGGGTGCTGTGATGGAAGATATATATTAGTTTATTTTCTAGTATTTCATTTTCGTTTTACAAATTCAATTTGAAATATGTTCTTACTTTTCGCAAAAAAAAAATTGAAACTTTATGTGTAATATTTTAAATTTGAATTTGAATTATGTTTGCTCTTTTAAATTTAAATTTAAGTTTTTTTAAAAAAAAAAAAACACATCTGTTTTGCTATAAATTCATGATAGATTGTCAAGATACTTACTTGATTGATAGTGCAACTACACCTACTACTTTTCAAGACAAAAATATTTTTTGGACTTAACATTAACAGAAAATAATGTTAATACGATATCAGGTGTATCGAATATTATTGAAAGCTTAGGAAGAGCTTGTATTATTTTACCAAATATTACAAAATTATATATTGAATATGCACTTTATTCTAGAAAATATAGAAGAAATTTGTTTAGTTTTAAAGATATATGCTGCAATGGATATCACATTGAGACAATATAAGAAAATAATGTTGAATATTTTTGCATAACTTCTTTTGTATCTACCCAGAAGCAGATAAAAGAAAAACTTCATGCACTCCCATCTGACATGTATTATACATTTATAAAAATAGTCTAATCAAATATTATCATGAACCAGAAGTTCGTTGATCCAAAAAGTTTTATACTTTGGCATGATCGACTTGGACATCTAGGAGCTAGAATGATGCGTCGAATAATGAACAGCTCAAGTGGACATCCTTTAAAGAACCAGAAGATTTTTTTACCTAATGATTATCCATGTGTAGTTTGTTCGCAAGGCAATTTAGTCATAAATCTTCAACTACAAATGTCAATATTGAATCTCCAACTTTTTTGGAAAGAATTCATGGAGATATATGTGGTCCAATACACCTACCATGTTTCACCATTTCGTTATTTTATGGTATTAATTGATCTTTTACTAGATGTTCACATGTTTGCCTACTTTCCACTAGGAATGTAACTTTTTCTAGACTACTTGCTCCAATCATAAAATTATGAGCACAATTCTCTGATTACTCAATCAAGACTATTTGTCTTGACAATACAAGTGAATTTTGATCACATGCATTTAATGCTTATTGCATGTCAATTGAGATTGTTATTGAATATTCGGTTGCACATGTCCATACACAAAATGGTTTAGCGGAGTCATTTATTAAATGTCTACAACTTATTTCTAGACCATTAATTATGAAAACAAAATTCCCAACTTCTATTTGGGGTCATGCCATATTACATGATGAGTCATTAGTTCGTATCAGATTAACTGTATATTATCAATATTCACCTTTGCAACTGATATTTGGTCATGAACTTAATATTTCTCACCTGCGGATTTTTGGTTGTGCTGTTCAAGTCCCTACTCTACCCCCACAATGGAATAAAATGGGTCCCCAATGAAAACTTGAGATTCATGTAGGTTTTGATTCACCATCTATTAGGAGGTATCTTGAACCTTTAATGGGTTATTTATTTACTGCACGTTTCGCAGATTGTTTTCGCAGATTGTCATTTTAATGAAATGACTTTCCCAACTTTAGGAGGGAAAAAACTATATCCTGACAAAAAAAAGTAAAATTTCTCGAAATGAAACAATTTTATCTCACATTGATCCTTCCAGCAATCAATGTGAGAAAGAGATTGAAAAACTCATTCATTTACAAAGAGTTGCAAATCAATTACCAAATGTATTTGTTGACACAAGAAAAGTGACAAAGTCACATACATCAGCAGAAAATATTTCAACAAAAATTGATGTCCCTACAGGATAATTTTCTGTAGCAAATGAATCTCAAATACACCAAAAACATGGTCGGCCAATGGGCTCAAAAGACCTTAAACCATGAAAAAGAAAAGTACAAGAGAAAAACAGATCAAAAATTTCAGAAGAAGTAATATTAGAAAAAAATGATCAATCAAATATTGAAAATATAGTTCATAAGAACCAAAAGTGTCCGTAAATAATGGGATTTCAATAAATTATATGTTATCTCATAAATTATGGGAACGAAATAATGTTGTTATAGACAATACTTTCGCATTTAACATGGCTCTTGATATTATGTAAAATGAGAATCTTGGACCACAGTCTGTTAAAGACTGTCACATAGAAATGATTGGCCAAAGTGGAAAAAACTCAGGCGAAATTGAATTCCTTAGAGAAATAGAAAGTGTTTGGATATGTAGTTCAAACACCTGAAAATATAATCTATGTAAGATACAATACAAATGGGTTTTTGTACGAAAGAAAAATGAAAATAATGAAATTACAAGATACAAAACCTGACTCGTAGCTCAAGGTTTCTCAGAAAGATTAGGAATTGATTATGAGGAAACATATTTTCCCATAATGGATATCATCACTTTTAGATTCTTAATTAGTTTGATTGTGTCACAAGTGCTCTATATGCGTCTTATAGATGTAGTGACTGTCTATTTGTAGTTCACTAGATAGTGACATATATATGAAAGTCCCTGTTCCTAGTAAAAGCAGGTGAACTTCTATGAGAAAAAGTCCTTGGTCCTGAAGTACCATATCTTAGTGTAATTGTACTATTAACTTATCTTGCAAACTGTATTCGACCCGACGTAGCTTTTTTTGTAAATCATCTTGCAAGATATACCTCTACACAATACACGGACTAGTGTTAAACATATTTTTTGTCACCTAAATGGCACTATTAATTGGGGATTATTTTATTCTCAAAAGTCAGGATCTGCTTTAGTGGGATATGCATGTTATCTCTCTAACGCACATAAAGCTATATTACAAACAAAATACATGTTTACACGTGGATGAACAACTATATCATGGAGATCTGTGAAGCAATCTTCGATAGCAACATTCTCAAATCATTATAAAGTTATAGCAATCCATGAAGCGGACCAAAAATGTATATGGTTGAGGAAAATGACTCATCATATCCAAACATCATGCGATTTAATTTCAACAAAAGATAGTCCAACAATTTTGTATGAAGACAATGATGGTTGTATTATACAACTCAAATAAGGTTATATCAAATGTGATAGGATGAATCATATTTCTCAAAAATTCTTTCATACATGAGTTTCAGAAGAATGGCGACATCGATGTTCAACAAATTCTTTCAAATGACAATATGGCTGATTTATGTACAAAAGCAATGACAATATCTACATTTAAAAAATTGGTTCACAAGATTAGAATGTGTCGACTCAAAGATTTTTAGTGATCAACACAGGGGGAGTAGTTGTACTTTTTTTTTTTCATTCGCTTAAGTTTTATCCCACTGGGTTTTCTTAGATGTTTTAATGATGCAACATTTATTTTTAATAATCCAAAATAATTGTACTTTTTTTTCATTCATTTGATTTTTTGTCCCATAAGGTTTTCATTAAATAAGGTTTTAACGAGACAAATATTTTGTGATGTGTCATTTAAGGAGGAGTGTTGTAAATGGTAAGTTTATTAGTGAATGACAATTGTATCCATACAATCCTATAAATTATTACCACTGTATCCATAATCGTGTCATATAAATATAGGGTTTTGGTTATCATTACAATACACACAAATCTATTGATTTTTATTCTTTGTTCTCTTTTTCTCTCTTTTCACAACAATATGCATTATTTTATTTATTATGCTCCTAATTGATTTAGTTAAAAAATGTATTTTTAGTAGATTTTTATAAAAATTGATAAAATATATGGTTAAAAAGTTAATAAAAGTTATGAATTACATAAAATTTGTCAAAATTAATTATTAACTTTAATATAAATTTTTATCAACCTTTTATCTAAACCAAACTGATTATATATGGTATTTAAATAATATTAAGCCGGGAAAACGTAATAAATAGATGTCTTGAATAATAAGAATTTAAGATTTGACTTTATCGCCTTGCCATGTTGCGTGCCATTTGGATATCGGATTAAGATTTGACTTTATCACCTTGCCATGCCACGTGCCATTCACATATTGTCTTATCATAACGTAATATTATTTGCTTATGTTGACATAATATTGGACCCTATTAAATTAAATTTTAGTAGATTTTGATAAAAGTTAATGAAATGTGTGGTTAAAAAGTTGTGGGTCCAATGAAATATGTGGTTAAAATTAATTTTGACTTTAGTTTAAATTAAAATTAATCCTTACAAATAGGGNCAATGAAATATGTGGTTAAAATTAATTTTGACTGTAATTTAAATTAAAATTAATCCTTACAAATAGGGACTAAATAAATAAAAGAAAGAGTTACTAAAAAAATTAGGAAGTAGAAAATCCCAGGTCACAACACCTAAAAAATGTTAAAATCACTCAATTTCAAAGTATGCATTATTTTATTTCCCCTAATTGATTTAGTTAAAAATAATAATTTTTTATATATTTTTATAAAAGTTAATAAAATATGTGGTTGAAAAGTTAATAAATTATGAATTACATAAAATTTATTGTTAAAATTAATTATTAATTTAAGTTTAAATTTTTATCCAAACTGATGATAGATGGTATTTATGTAATATTTAAAAAGGAAAACGTAATAATTAAATGTGACTCATAAAATTGAAGATTTGACTTTATTGCTTGTCATGCTACCTGACATTAGATATTGGCTTATGATAACATAATTGTCTTGCCATGCTGCATGCCATTATTATGTTAGATATAATATTGGACCCTACTAAATCGTGTTTCATGTGTTAGGATATATAATTCCCTCTTTCACCAAAGAAGAAAAATCATATATGGAAGAAAATACAGTTAAAGTCTGATAAAAACATTTATAAATTTCCTCACCACCTGCGTGCATCATTCCGTCCCCGAAAACAACCCATTGAATTGTCCTGCCAGTTGAAATCCGTATTGAACTTCACAGTCGACGGGGGAGAAAATTAAGGAAAACAATGAAAAACCCTCATGTTCTGCTTATTCCATTTCCAGCACAAGGCCATGTGCTTCCCTTAATGGAAGTTGCACTCCATTTAGTAAAGTATGGCTTCAAAATCACATTTGTAAACTCTGAGTTCATTCATGAACGAGTTATCAAATCAATGCCAGAGACAGACAGCGTACGAGAACTCATAAGAATGGTTTCGTTACCTGACGGATTAGAATCCTCCGATGACAGAAGTGATATGGAAAAAACGTGGGCATCAATTATTAGGGTCATGCCGGGAGAGCTAGAGGATCTTATTGAACGGATCAATGGTTCGGAAAGTGACAAAATCAGTTGTATAATTGCCGATGCAAACATGGGTTGGGCTATGGAGGTTGCAGAGAAAATGGGAATCAAGAAAGTAGCTTTCTGGCCAGCAGCAGCAGCGTTATTCGCTCTGCTCTTCAAAATTCCGAGCCTCATTGACAAAGGAATCATAGACAGTGAAGGTTATTACAGTTTTAAACCTAAACTAGTCTTCAACACTTTGTTCTGTTCAGATTTAGTTTGGTCTCACTCTCTCACTTTTTAGACGTGTTGATGTCAACGCTCCTATGAATCTGGTCAAAAAGGTTAAAATTACTTAATCATTTGAATGTTACGCCCTGTTCATTAAATTTTTCATTTTCATCCTTCTAATCATTTTAGTTTGGTCATCGTGCCATGTGTCCCACGTAGCACCTCCCACTGCCCCCCTCGTTTTGAGTGGAGAGCTTCCACCTATCCAGCTGTTGATTGTGTTTATGATAATCATTGAACGGTCCTCATCCAACCCAATGATGTTTTTATGGTTAAGTGTCGTATTGGTCTCGAGTGGTAGACGGTCTAGTATAAATATACAGGATTTCATAGTGGTCGACAGCCCAGTTTGAACGTAGAGGGTCTTGCAACAGTAGACGGTCTAGCATGCAAGTGGGGAGCCTTGCAGAAGTAGACGGCTTAGCATTGGATGCTTTACGTAAAGTACTTATCGAGTGTTCTTCACCTTGTTGGCTATCATAGACAATTATTGATGTCATCTAATATCAAACATCAAGCAGCTCAATTTAATTTCCCTCTACTTCTATATTCTAAGACCAGAAAAAAAGATTCAATTATTAATGAGATTTTTGCCATGTTCTCTTCCCCAGCAGATATCCCAAAAAATAAAGGTTTATGAGCAGGTTTATCCATGAACTTAGAGCGTGTTTGGCTAACCTTAAGTGCTATGTGGCTTTTTTTTTCTAGCATTTAAGCTTAGCCAAACATGTAGTTTTTGACATCCTCGTAATTGATCTATGGACTTATAATTACTAAATTTTATAATACCACCTAATTAGTCTCTGAAATTCATTCTGCGAGTCCGTCACTCATTTGATTTAAGGAATGCTATGATTAATTGTTCAACTCAATTGTACTTTTATGATCAAATTTTTTTTAAGTTGAAGAGTTGTTATTTATCATGTTTGGTCATGCACATTCTAGCTGATCACAAATTTAACCGTCACGATTCTGTTCAGTTTTAGTTTGGTCTATCTCTCACTTTTTAGACGTGTTGATGTCAACGCTCCTATGAATGCAGGTTTTTTAAAATCTGGTCAAAAAGGTTAAAATTACCTAGTCATCTGAATGTAAATCTGGTCAAAAAGATTTAAACCCTGTTAATTTTTATTTTCAACATTGAAATAGTTATGAATCAAACCTCTGTGCCGCGCCCTCCTGCCTGCACAAGGTATTTTTCTAGTATTCCAATGAACAAATGTTACCTATGAAGTGAGGTTGGGACTTTCTACCCCTTTGTACTTCTGGGATGAGAATTAGTGAGGGATTTAAAAAACATAGAGTTAGGAAGAAAAGACTGGATATATATTCAGATAGCCAAAATTTTCCAAGTCCATACCTGTCTCGCCTTTATAGGTGACTAAAACCATATAACTATTGGGCGGTTATCTTGCCATGTGTCCCACGTAGTATCTCCCACCACCCCCACGTTCTGAGTAAAGAGTCTCCACCTATCCAGTGGTTGATAACCGCTAAACGGTCCCCATCCAACCCATGGACATTTTTATTGTTAAGTGTTGTGTTGGCCTCGTAGTGGTAGACGGCCCCATGATGGTAGATGGCCTAGGATAAATATAAAGGGCTTCATAGTGGTCGACATCCCAGTATGGATGTAGAGGATCTTGCAGCAGTAGACGGTCTAGCATGCAACTAGGCAGTCTTGCAGTGGTAGACGACCCAGTGCTTTACGTAAAGTGTTTATTGAATAGTCATCAACTTGTTGGCTATCGTAGATAATTATTGATATCATCTAATATCAAACATCAATATTATTATGGCTATAAGTTCAAGAACAAACTTAAGTTTCTAAATAAAAAAAAAATTGTATTCTATATTAATAATATTGCTGAACTTTTTACGCAGGAACACCAATGAAAAACCAGATAATTCAGCTCTCACAAGCGATGCCTCCCATGAAGACTGTAGACTTCTTTTGGAATTGTTTAGGCGATGAAGTGCAACAGAAAATCTTCTTCAAACTCTTGTTTGAAAATATGCAGTCAGTTAAATCGGCAGACAGGTTAATTTGCAACTCATCAAAGCGATGCCTCCCATGAAGACTGTGGACTTCTTTTGGAATTGTTTAGGCGATGAAGTGGAACAGAAAATCTTCTTCAAACTCTTGTTTGAAAATATGCAGTCAGTTAAATCGCCAGACAGGTTAATTTGCAACTCATCTAATTGGTTGGAGCCTGGGACATTTGCTTCATTTCCAGACTTTTTACCCATAGGACCTCTTCTGGCAAGTAACGGGCTTGGAAAATCAGCTGGCAACTTCTGGCAACAAGACTCAGGTTTTCGAGAAACAATATTAAGCTATAAAAAATAGAATGCATATGATTATTTAAATTATATAGGGACAACATATTTATTTGATTTTGTCTTCAACAGCTTGCCTCTCGTGGCTTGATCAACAACCACGTAATTCTGTCATATATGTTGCATTTGGAAGTTCGACAGTATTTGATCAGAATCAATTCAAAGAACTTGCTCTCAGCCTTGAACTCACCAAAAGACCATTCCTGTGGGTCGTGCGAGAAAACACAACTGAAGACGTCGACAATGCATACCCAATTGGGTTCCACGAAAGAGTGCACAATTGGGGGCGGGTGGTGGCTTGGGCACCGCAGCAAAACGTACTATCCCATCCTTCTGTTGCCTGTTTCATTAGCCATTGCGGTTGGAATTCCACCGTCGAAGGCATAAGCAATGGAGTCCCTTTTCTGTGTTGGCCATACTTGTCGGATCAACCATTTAATCAGAGCTACATTTGTGACTGTTTGAAGATTGGATTGAAATTGAATAAAGATGACAGTGGAATTATTAGGCATGAAGAGATTAGTAACAAATTAGAACAACTTTTGGGTGATGAAAGATTTAAAGAATTGGCATCGAATCTTCAATCAAATGTCCTAAACAGCGTTCGAGAAGGAGGGAGCTCTTATAATAACTTCAAGGATTTCGTAGCATGGATTAAGGATTGAAAAAACAATTTGTTCATGTATTCTCTTATTATCATCACATTAACTATGTATCTTTAATATTGATAGTATTGATTGCAAGTTTGGTTAATCTTACATAATTTTCAAAATAAGTTATCTATTATAAGTATTTTTCTTATTTTTGCATAGGTAAAGTTAACTTATTCAAACATGCCAACTGAATAAACCTCGTACATGTTAGATATATATTGGTGAGAGGTTTTAAAACCTAACTCATATGTACAAGATATGAAAAAATACCCCCCATGAAACCGTGCCAACCAAATGAAGCCTGCGTCTCCAATTTAAATACTCACTTGGGCGAGCATGTACTGCAGCTTATTGTTGTTCTCTGGTTTCTACTTGCTTAAGCAAGCAATTGGCTCGCCTTAGCCTAGTTATTGTTGTTTTCTTCACTCCAATGTAGCCCTTCAGGTTTTTAGCTCTTGTTCGGCCCCCATTTTCTATAACTCGTTTTCCTCAAGTTCATTTTCAAAAATTGCCTCATATTGAAAGAACATCTAGGGTTCATCATCTTAGAGATTGAAAGAATATTTTCGGATCAATCACCATTTTCCGTAAGTGATCAAGGTTCGATTCGAACGGTTTGTGACCAATTTTCAAACCAAACCACTTAAAGCGATTTGAAATTTTTCCAAATCAAACCAAATCATCTCAATTTTTAAACCATACCAATTCAAACCCTTTTTTGGGTTTAAGTTAAATCATAAATATATCTAAACTTTCAAGTTAAAATATAAATAGTATCATTAAAAATATTACAAACTAAAGTTCTATAATTCTAATCAATGTAATGCAACAACGTGATAGAAATATGATACTAATTTGCACAATATCTGTAATTGTAATACAAGATTGATTCTCTTCATGTTGAAATTTGAGTGTGACCAGAATTCCTTTGTTAAAATGTTTGAAGTATTGAAGAATTCTTATTGAAGTGCACGTCAAGGAAAATTCAAGTATAGAAAGCTATTGGAGTCATATGTGAAGTTGAAGTTCTATTTTGAAAATCCATTGGGAGTTGAAAATTGATATTGGCTTTGAAGACTTCGACATGGAAATTTTTAGGCCGTAACGCAGCGCCTAGGAGCTGGCTTGCTGTAGCCCTTGGGCACCAAGGGTATAGCGCCTAGGCGCCACGTGTAACAATCAAGTTTTTTCAGTTTTTTCTCTCATTATTCGTTTTGGACTCGATTTTTTGGCATCATACTTTATCAACAACTCTACTTGGAGGGTTTGAACGTCCCCTACATGTTCCCTATAAATATTAAGTTCTCCTATACAATTTTATAAATGTGAGAAAATGGATTACTAGAATTATAGGATGCATTGTAATTTTCTCTCTTCTTCATTATTTTTTAGCTAATAAAATCTCTTAATTCATCTGTCATATTTCTTGTCTTTATTGTTCTTTTATTTGATCTAATATTTCATTATTGGTCATATAATTTCAATATCTCAATCCGATGGTTTATTTCACAACAAGTGGTATCAGATCTATTTTGGTATCTTGTTTATTTTACAACAAGTCGTATCAGAGCCTAGGTTCAGCGGTTCCGCAAGAGCGTAGGATTTGATTTGTTTGAGGTTTTTTGTTCGTGATGGCTTCATTAAATATGACATTCCATTTTGGATCGGAGTACTAGATTTTCACAATAAGAAGTTAAGATGCGTGCAGTACTCGCATAGTTGGATTTCAATAATACGTTGCTGGGAATTGACAACATGTCCGCAACTTTGACCACGGATGAGAAATTACAGTAGGATAAGAAGACGGTTTCTCACATTCATCTTTATCTATTCAATACCATTATTCGGGACGTTTTGAAAGAGGTTTCAGCAGCTGCACTATGGTTGAAGTTGAAACAATTGTGCATGACTAAAAGTCTGACAAGTAAGCTGAACATCAAGCAACGTTTATACTCTCATCAAATGGTAGAAGGAGGATCATTGGAAGATTACCTAACTGTATTTAAAGAGATCGTCATTAATTTGGAAACTTTAGAATTAGAGGATGATGATAAAGATTTGGCATTGATCATTTGTGTTTGTTGCCCGCTTCAATTTCTTCATTTAGAGACATGATCTTGTATAATCATGATACTCTCACTATAGAGGAGGTGTATAATGCTTTGTATTCAAAAGAAAAGACAAAGCATCTAGTTTCTGAGACTAGAGATGGAGAAGGTCTGGTCACTCATGATGATTCTGGAAGGGACAGATCGAAGTTTAAGTTTAGTAATCAGATTTGTAACTATTGCAAGAAGAATGAACACATGAAGAAGGATTGCTACAAATTGTAGAATAAAGAAAGGCTGGCTGCAAGTCGATATGGGAAGCAATCAGATACTTCAGGCAAAGCAGACCTCGAGAAGATCATTGATGGAGATCTCTTGGCTATTTCTGACATCGAGTCTAAACCTTAGGAAGATTGAATTCTTGGTTCAACATGTGTGTTTCATATGTGTCCTAATAAGGACTTGTTTACTACATATGAAATTGTTTTCAAATGTGTCATGGTTATGGGAAACAATGTACCTTGTCGTGTTGCTGGAATTGGTACAGTCAGATTGAAGCTTCTAGATAGACCAATTAGAACATTTGGACAGGTTCGACATTTTCTAGATTTGAAAAAGAATCTTATCTCGTTGCCTATCCTTGATTCAAAAGATTATGAGTTTTTTTGTGGAAGTGGAGTTCTAAAAGTTTGTAAGGATGTCCAAGTTGTATTGGATGGACAGATAAGGTCTCAGTTATACATCTTGTAGGGTCGTGCAAAATCTACAAGAGTCAATCAGCATAGGTTCGATACCGTGGTGGACATTCAGTTTGGTACAATACCTTTAGGAGCTCATAAAGGGTTAGGTTTGAAGAATACAGCTTAGTAGAGTTTAGAAGATATGGGTAATGCCGCTTTGCCACCATCACTTGCGGTGCCATTGTATTCAGTTGCTAGAGACGGACCTATTGGAACAAAGTATGTGATGCTGATTTTGTTGAGCATACTATAAGTGGAGTAGAAGGTATTCCATTTAGCAAGGGGCCTTCGGTAAAAGCATTTGGTATTGATTCTGCCTTAGGGTGTGTTACAGCCCATTTTGAGGTAAAAGCATTTGGTATTGATTCTGCCTTAGGGTGTGTTAGAGCCCATTGTGGTTAATTCAAAATCATTATGATTTGTGGAATCTGAGATAATTCTACAAGAGTAGTGATGGATTCATTGGAAGAAGTGGAGTATTGTGTTTTGTTGGAGAAGTTAATTTTTTATTATTGTTGAAGAAGCATGTTTATTCATTTAATGAAATTCGTATCAAGGTGGAGATTGTTAAAATTTGGGTGTGACCCGAATTCCTTTGTTGAAATGTTTGAAATATTGAAGAATTCAAAATGAACTGCACGTCAAAGAGAATTCAAGTTTGGAATGCTATTGGAGTCCTATGTCAAGTTGAAATTCTATTTTGGAAGTCCATTGGGAGTTGAAAATTGATATTGGACTTGAAGAAGAGTTCGGAATGGAGAAGAACATCATTGGAGGCATTTTGGAAATTTTTGGGCCGTAACGCAGTGCCTAGGCGTTGGCTTACTTTTTTCAACAGCAAAGGCGCTAGCCCTTGGGCGCCCAAGCGCTAGCCTCAGCGCCCAGTCTGTAACAATCGAGTTTTTCCCCTTTTTTCTCTCATATCTCGTTTTGGACTCGATTTTTTGGTATCCTACTTTTTCAACAATTTTATATGAGGGTTTGGATATCCTCTACATGTTCCCATAAATATTAGACTCTTCTATACAATTTTATAAATGTGAGAAATAGATTACTAGAATTATAGGATCCATTGTAATTTTTTCTCTTCTCCATTATTTTTAAGTCAGTAAAATCTCTTAATTCATTTGTCATATTTATTGTCTTTATTATTCTTTTATTTGATCTAATACTTCATTATTTATCATATAATTTCAACATCTCAATCTGGTGATTTGTTACACAACAAGTGATATCAGAACTGTTCTAGTATCTTGTTTGTTTTACAACAATTCACAAAGATAAGAATATATTACATAAATGAATATATTCATTTATTATAATTAAATGATATAAAACAACTAATAAAGGAAAATGAATAGAAACATCAAATATAATAATAATTTCTATAACTTTTTTTGTAAATCATTCAATACTTCTACCACATCCAAATATTAACGAATAACTATAGGGTTTAATTTTAACTAGGATGTGTCTAGTTTTAATTGGGATGGATAAAATTTAAATTGATTTACTTTCAGATTTTTTTTATTATTATTATTATTTTATTTTTTTTGTAAACAGTTTAAAGGTTTGAAACGGTTTATGAAGATTGAAATCTAAACCAAACAACATCAAAACGGTATTGTTCAACTCAAAACCAAAACATTGACGGATTCACTTGGGCCCAAACTAACGGTTTCAAAAAAGTAGTTTCAGTTCTATTTTAAGGTTGACGATTTCTTCATTCAATCCTAATTTTTTTCTTACATACCACTTGGCTTCACAAAAAATATACCCAAAATGGTTTAACTCCCCAAAAAAGGGGGGGCTGCTAACATTTTGGTAAAAAAACTACTGTCAACATTTTAAAATACTATCTACTTTGTGAGATCGACATTTTGGCATCATTTGTTGGAAAATTACCATAACTACGAAGGAGAGCATGTGAAGGAACAAGCAAAGCAAAGAGGAAACAGTGAAGCAGTTCAGACAATGATGAAAATCCAAGGAGAAGAATGAGTAAAAGCCCTGTTATACTGAAAGGAAGCACACAACAAAGGAGCAATCGAAGAACCAACAAAGCAGATGCCAGGTTAACCCAAACTTTGACAGAAATGGCCGCAACACTTGCAGCGCTTTATTGAAGACAATGCTGCCATGAGGTAGCTCTTAATGCGAGAGCAAAGACCTTCCAAGTCTGTCGGTGTCTTTAGTAGGCTGGGAAGCCCTAAGAGAGACTAAG